TGGTCATCAAAAACTGAAATTGAAACAAGAAATAGTTAATGAAGCTTTGCTGATTTAATTAGATTGGCAAAACTACTAACACTCTTAATTTTGTGTAGCATGAAGGCATTTTTAATAAGATGCAAGGTAAAGACATTTTTAGAAATTGAGTAGTGTTTCAGAACTTAATCAAAACACAATTTGAATTTAAATAAAATTACAAAAAAAAATGGCTAGAAATTGTGATCTTATATACAAATCTCTAATTTCAAAATAGTTTACAATGGTAGAAAAATGTTTTAATTTAACATTGGTAAATGGGTACTGCTATTATATTTTCTTAACATTCTAATTATATTAATTTAGTTTCAGTAAGAAAATTCACAATCTTTAAATCTGGTGTATAATAAGTTTTAAGATGTTTCATGGAGGAGTGTGTTATATACAATAAACTACTATTAAAGTGTTAAGAGACATTGAACATAAATATATTGGTAAATTGAAACAACTTTAAGTGCATGCTGTTAATTTTGGTTCACAATTATTTGAGTGAGACTTTGTTTTTGAGATAAGAAAAGTGGGCTACAGATATGTATTTTGTTGGTAGACATGAATATCACGATTTTTATTTATTAAACATCTAAATTTCATTTTCTATATATTTGTATCATGTTATATCATTAACAATATAATCATACATCATCTGACTCCTGTTCTTAATGTGTTATTTTACAGCTTACAGACCAGAACCTGTGTTTTAACTTCTGGCTTGAGCAAGATATTGAGGTCCAAGAAACAAAACCAGCTACCATCCGGTTGTACGATTATTATGAACTAGGTACGAGAAAGTAAAGATCTTCATAAATATTTATTTTTGATTTCAAAGCTGTAAAGAGATATTATTATTATTTGAACAGGTATAATAAAATGTAACTATTTATGTAATCTTTGCTGGATCTGTAAAGTACAAAGTATAGCCAGGAGCTCTACACTAATTACTGAGCACACTAACTTTCTCTAATGAACAGTTTATTTTGACTTGCTTATTCTGAAATGTTATGTTGAGCTAAGGTTTGTTATGGATTTGTTCAAAAGATTTCTTATGTGTGACAGTGACTTACTGACTGAAATTTGTTCCCAATTTCCAAAGCAACATTTACTTATTGTTCTTGTTACCTTTTTCAGAACAAGAAGTTGTAACCTCCTACTCCATCGATGAGAACTGTGAAAAGCTTCCTCCTCTTCCATGAGTTTGTAATACCAGTAGATGAACAAAGCTTGTTGCAGAGTTGTGTGTTTTTATTAAGATCTCTTTGATCCTTCTTAAATTGGGTGAAGAAGCAATAACTTTCTGAAGAATTCATTATCTTTCATAAAAAGTAATGTAATGATTTTATTAACATGTAATAGTTTTAGGTTTGATAACTTTAATGCACTGCACCTGCTTTCTGAAAGAAAAGAGATGTTTTGGCTTCTACACTGAGGTCTTCAGCTTGTCATGAACTTTGTATTGAAGCTGAAACATCGTCTCTTTTTAAAAAAAAACGGGCAATTGCAGTTCGTTAAAGTTCCCAAAACTACTTTGCCTTAAGCTCCACCAAAATAACATGTAATATTATTTTTACTGTTCTTTATGAATCTTGCTATGCATTTTTCACTTTCCAAGTTTTATTGATATAACAAAGGTAATTGTTGTAGTTCTATTATTTTTTTTAACAGAAAAGGATTTTATTCATGATATTTTAAATTGGAAATAATAAATGATCAATTTTTAATGTAAAAGCTTTTTAATATTTTTGTTGTTGTTGTTTTAAGTTAAATACAAAGCTACAGAATGGGCTATCTGTGCTCTGTCAACTACAAATAATCATAAACTTCCAATTGATTTATTCCCCGGTGGACCTGTGGTAAGTCTTTGGATTTACAACACTAAAATTAAGGGTTTGATTCCTCTCGATGGACACAGCAGATAGCCTGATGTGGTTTTGCTATAAGAAAACACACACACACACACACACACACACACACACACACACACACACACACACACACACACACACACACACACACACACACACACACTCACCAGGGAACATCAGGAATAGTAAATCTAATACTTATAACTATCTTGTATGAGTGAAAACATTAGTGGTACAGTTATTGTGATTTTTGACAATTTTTTTTCTTATCTTCCATGCCCCAGTAACAACAAAACAGTGACAAAACGTTTTTTTTTTAACTCCACCTCATTAAAAATTTTCCAGTGTTTCAAAATATTTTGATTCCTTCAATTATAATAAAATATGAAATGCCAACTTTAAGAGACCCTGAGACAGTTCCCTTACATGTTGTTACACCACTGACAACAACCAGTATAGAAAAAAAAAAAAAAAAGTACCTTAAAGAGATGTTTTCTAGCAATTTAAATTGTCTTACAAATGAAAGAAATCATATTCTCATGTTCCTGAAATGGTTTAGTAAATTAATATTGAGACACTATATTTCTTTAATTATTACTTTGTGTACTAAACTTGAGCAAGTTGTTATTATTATGATCATAAAATAACATTAATTAATTCGAAGTGTAGTGGTAAAATTATTGAGTTTATTTTTATTTATTCATTTAAATTTATTATTAAGTTTAACTAAGATCTCTTACTTTTGACTTGGTTAAGAGAAAGAGTTTGGTTTGGTTTAAAAAGTCTTCTATCTAGTCTGTCGCTGCTAAATTAGGGATAACTAGCGCAGATAGTCCAGGTATAGCTTTGTGCAAAAATTCAGAACAAACCAGTCAGCCATGGGGGAGGAAAAGGTCAAAGGTATACCTGACCCTCCAGCAGAATTGGGCCTAAAAATCCAGTGCAGCTGATGAATGGGCATTATAGTGTGAAGGTCAATCCCACTATTTGTGATAAAAAGTTGGCAGTGGGTGGTGTTGACTAGTTGCCTTCCCTCTTGTTTATCACTTCAAATTAGGAACAGCTGGTACGGATAGACCTTGAGTAGCTTTGGGCAAAATTCCAAACAAACGCACAAAAGTACATTTTATTTAACACACACAAAAAATCAAAGTAATGAGTTAGTAAGATGAATGACAGCACTACTGGAGGTTGAGAGTTCTCAGGAGAATTTGTACAATTCTATAATGCTATCCTACTTTCTGTTGGTAATTCCAATAGAAAAATAAGGGGCGATATATTCTTACAGTTCACACTTACAAAACAAATCTTTAGAGAAGTACCTTAAATAAAATCTATCCAACACAAAAAATAAATACAAGTTATCTCTTAAATCTGTATTACTTGATCATACCTTTGAGTATACATTTTTTAATGTTAATCTTTAGATCATGACTTTTACCACACAAGAAATGCCAAAGAGTGAGAGAGAGAAAATGAATAATAGACAAAAATTGTTAATTCATCCAAAATCAGTTGCTTATATCATTGATTGATAATAAAAGAAAACAATTTTATTTCCTTTGTCTGTAATGCAAACATTTAAACAATTTTTCTATATTTTTTTTTTTTTTTATTTAATCAAATTTAAGTTTGCATATATAATTTTTTATTTATATATTTTTTTTTTTTTTAAAAAATTTTTTTTT